CTTTTTTCTTTTCTATTTTTTTAAACAAGATCCCGTGGCCCCTTTTTTGGTTTGGATAAAAAGCCATCATAAAAAGTGTTTTAGGCAAGATGTAGGCCAGGATGGTGATAGCACTGGAAACTACACTATAGGCAGAGGACTTGAAGGAACTTTGAATGTTTAGCATGAGGAATGTAGGAAATACATCATCACTTCAAGGGCTGTCATGTGGACTTACTCTCCTACTTGTTGATGTAGTAGAGATTCTGCCTTGTGAAACAGAGGCCCTCTGAGGTACTTTTCCAAGTTTGAGATTCAGTGATTAAAATTTTCACACTGTGATAGCATTCCTGTCACACCATCTCATACCTTGCACTGGTCTCTAGTTTCATTGAAGTACATTCTTGAAAAGCTTATAGTCTGATTGAGGAGACAAGGTATATATGTGTGAGACAGTTGGAGAATGATTCTGAAACAGTGCAAGTCTGAGAGAATGTGGTTCAGACATATTAGAATATCTTGGAAATTATCTCATAAAAAGAAGATTCCCATCCTGAACATTCCTTTGCTGTTCTTCTGAACCTCACTGGCTCTTTGGAGAAATCCCAAAGTATATAGTTGAAATTAAGAAATTGGAAGGTTGATATGGATCGTTTACCTGTGTTTTTCTCCCGTGAGCAGATAAAAGAGATTTCTAGTTCACTTCTTAATCTGAGTCCCCTTGGAATTTGGACAAGAATCATAAATTTCAGGTAATTTTTTATGCCTCTACCTTTCGTATTTTAAGAAATGTATTTGTTCAAATTGACTTGAAATCAACACTTACCTGAGTGGTAAAACTTACTTTACATCTATCTGGCTCTATCTTGATGTTTAACAGGTTAAATATATATGTTTTCTAAATCTGGTCACTATGTGTCTTTGTGAGGGCTAATGTGAAATTATATTCCTAGGTTAAATATCTCATAATAGATTCTGATTCAGCTTAAAATTCGGTCACATTTTTTTTTAAACATATAGACAAAACAACTAAATGACTGACTTTGTGTTGTCAAGTTAACAATCTAAAAGTTTATTTTTGTAGAAGGTGCAGCAGACTAGGGTAAACAGATCTCATTTTAGATTAGGTTAAAATTAAAACTATAGGATTTAAAAAATTGATGCCTTTGGTTTTTACGGCACTCTCATTTCTATCCCTTCCTACTTCCCCATGCAGTGAGCACTTGCTTGCAACAAACATGAAAGATTAAAACAATAAAGTAACCCCAATTGACATAATGATCACATCCTATAGAGCCCTTATTCTTCAATAAAGAGCACTTTTTCTCATATCTTTGGAGCCAAGCCATGCATTCTAATTGCACAGTTTTTCATTTTATTTTGTTGTTCTTTCTTTTTATATTGTTGTAATTGTGTATATTGTTTTCTTGGTTCTGAAGCTTATGAACTTATGCAGAATAAAATATCTTCCTATATTTCTCTGGATTGTTCATGTTTGTTATTGTTCATGGTTCAGTAATGTTCTATTACATACATGTATTGCAGTTTGTTTAGATATTCCCCAATCGATGGGCACCTATTCTATTTCAAGTTATTTGTCATCACAAAAAGTACTGCTATAATTATTTTGATATATGGGACCTTTATTTCTGTATTTTACCTCCTTGGGTCAAAGGAGAAGGTATATGCCTAGCATATATATCTCTGAGCCAAAAAGTATGGACTTTTTAGTTATTTTTTAAAAGTATAATTTCAAATTATTTTTGAAATATTTATTATTTATTTTTAACATTAAAATTTTTTTGAGTTCCAAATTCTCTTCTTCCTTTTTGCCCCTCCCCAACCCACTGAGAAGGGAAGCAATATATCAATTATACATGGAAAACATTTCAATATTAACCATATTGTGTCAAAAAGCAAGAAAAATAAAATGAGAAAACTATACTTTCACTCAGAGTTTACCAGTTCTTTCTCTGGAGGTGGATAGCATTTTTTATCATGAGTCCTTTGGAATTTTCTTGGATCATTGTATTGATCAGAATAACTAAGTCTTTCACAGCTGATCATTAGAATATGTCTTTTACTGTGTAAAATGATCTCCTGGTTCTGCTCACTTCACTTTGTATCAGTTCATATAGGTCTTCCCATATTTTTCTGAAACCATCCCCCTAGTCATTTCTTATAGCACAATAGTACTCCATCACAACATATGCCACAAATGTTTGGCCATTTCCCAATTCATAGGCATCCTCTTAATTTCTAATTCTTTGTCACCACAAAAATAGTTATAAATATTTTCATGCATATAGGTCTTTTCCCTTTTTCTTTGATCTCTTTGGGGTACAGACCTAGTGATATTGCTGGGTCAAATGATATGTACATATAGCCTTTTAGGCATAGCTCCCAAATGTTTTCTAGAATGGTTGGATCAGTTTACTATTACAACAACGGTTCATTAGTATATCTATTTTCCGTCTTCATTTTCAGCTTTTGTCATTTCTATTGGTGTGAGGTGGTCCCTCAGAGTTGTTTTAATTTGCATTTCTCTAATCAACAGTAATTAAGAACATTTTTTTTCCTATGACTATAGATAGCTTTGATGTATTCTTATGAAAACTGTTTCTATCCCTTGACAATTTATCAATTGGGGAATAGCTCTTATTTTTATAAATTTGACTCAGTTCCCTATATTTGAGAAAAGAGGGCTTTATCAGAGAAACTTCCTATAAAATGTTTTGATATTACATCATTGTCTATAGTACCTTTTATCAAAATGTAGTTTTCCTGCTTATCCCTTTTAATTAGGTCTATTTTTGCTTTTGCTTTGTCTGAAATCATGATTGCTACCCCAGCCTGTTTTTTTTTTTTACTTTAGCTGAAACGTTATAGATTCTGCTCCATCTCCTTTTTTTTTTTTTTTAAATTCTGTGTGTCTTTCTGTTTCAACTCTATCTCTTGTAAACAACATATTGCTGGATTATGGTTTCTAATCCGTTATGCTATCCACTTCTGTTTTATGGGCAGGCTCACCACATTCACGTTCACAGTTATGATTAGTAACTGTGTATTTCCCTCCATCCTATTTTCTTATGTTTATCCTTCTCTCTCTTTTTTTATACTGTTCAAATTACTTTCAATTTCAACTGGTCTAATGAATTTATACCTTTAACAATTAGTGTACCAGTATGCCTGTCTTCCTATGGCCCCTCCACATTGACATTGTCCATATTTTATCATCTTTGCCAATTTACTGGGAATGAGGAGAAATCTCAATTGTTTTGGTTTTTATTTTACCTTCCGTATTGTTGTTAGCAGTTTGCATTTCTTTTGAGAAATATTTGCTCATATCCTTTGGCCATTTATTTTTTGGGGAATGGATGTTGGTTAAATATTTGTGTTAATTCCCTGTATATTTTGCATATCAGACTTTTATCAGATATACTTGATGCAAGCATTTTTTCCCAACTGACAATTTCCATTATCCTGCCTGCATTGATTTTGTTTTTGCAAAAGCTTTTCAATTTCATTGAATCAAAAATATCTGTTTTATCTTTTGTGATCTTCCTTATCCTTCGTTTGGTCAAGAGTTCTTCCCTTATGAATATTTGTGGAAGTTACCTTAATTCTTATAATGTTTATTTATTGAAATCTAGTATCCTTCTGAATATAATGAGAAGATAGGACTCACTGGAAAAGTCCCTGATTTTGGGAAAGACTGAAGGCAAAAGGAGAATGGGACATCAGAGGATGAGATGGATAGATAGAGGGAGGCAATGAACATGAGCTTGGAGAGACTTTGGGAGATAGTGGAAGATAGAAGAGCCTAGCATGCTATGATCCATGGGGTTACAAAGAGTCAGACATGGCGGAACAACTGAACAATGAAATCCATCTAAAACTTTCTATGGTATAATGGCATAAGTTGCTCATCTAACCCTACTTTTTGCTAAATCGCTTTCCAATTTTCACAAAAGTTCTTATCAGATAGAGAGTCCTTCCCCAAGTAAGTTTTTCAGGCTTACTGAACTTACTGAAGTTGATTGTTTATGATTCTTGCTTATTTAGTCTATTCCACTAAACTACTTTTCTATTTTTAACCTGTATCAAATGATTTTCATCAGTATTGCTTTATAAAATAAATTAAGATCTGTACTTGCAATTCCTCCTTCATTTCAACTTTTAAAAATGATTTCCTTTGAGATATGAGACATTTTGTTCTTCTAAATGAATTTTTTATCATTTTGTCTAGCTTTATAAAATGTTTCTGTGATAGTTTGAGATAACCAAATTTGTAAATAAATTTAGATAGTATTACCATATTTATTTTATTGGCTTGACTGAAACATAAATAATGATTATCTCTCCAATTATATATCTTCAATTATTATTTATTTCTTTGAGGAGTTTTTTATAATAATTTTTATATAAATCTGGACTGTATCTTGGTAGATTGATTACTAGATATTTTCTTCATTTTGTATTTATTTTGAATGGGATTGCTTCATTTTTTCTTCTGGATTTTGTTAATATTATGTGGAAACACTGATGATTTTTAATAGATTTGTTTTGCATCTTTCCATTGTACTAGAAGCTTTTGTCTTAACTTCTTTTTTCTTGCTGATTTTGGGGGATTTTTCTAAGCAAATTATCATTTTATCAGCTCATAGGGAGACTTTTGTTTCCTCTTTGCCAATGTTTGTGTCTTTAATTTCTTTTTCTGGATGCTATTACTAGCATTTCTAGAACTATCAAATAATGGTGGGGACAATAGGCATTTTTGCTTTACCAATGTATTATTGGGAAAGCTTCTAGTGTTTTTTCAATATAAATAATGCTAGGTTTTGGAATTAGATATATGCTTTTTATTACATTAAAATAAACTTTCAAGCAAATCTTTTCTAGAGGACTGATGATTTCTTTTTTCAGAAAGGCTCAGAAAAATCAGTAAGAATATCCTTATAATTGGGGTCTAATCATTAGCATTTGGCCCTATTGATATTTCAAGGTTAGCATTATTCAATATGTACATGGAAAAAGACTACATTTTGTGTAAAATTGTTTGCATAGCATTGGACTACAGAACATTGCAAGTAAAGTAAACCACATTTTGTTCTGTGCAATTTTTTGACAGGAGGAAAGACACTGAGTGTTGTGCCTATGTGAAAAGATTTATAGAAGGCCGTGTTTTTTCAGTGCTAATGATCAGTACCATCTCACTGAATGCCTTGTGTATGGTTTTGCAGACCAATTACGACATTAGAAATTATTTGTTCTTAATTTTTGAGGTAAGAAAATTATTTTTTCCTTTCTGAAAAGGTACTGAAATTTTTAAAGGCATTTTATTCAATGGGAAATTGCTGAAGTTAGACTCAAAAGGTCCCAAATGTGAGTCAATAAAAATATAGGCTCTTCACATTATTTCAGTATTTGAAAAGATCTATGATTTCCTTAGTGTGGACACTCCCTTTATGTATACATATAGATAACAAATCTTCCGTGCCTTTGTAGAGAGCATCATGAGTTTCTGTATCCAAAACAATTCTTGCTAATAATGAGTCTCAACGTTCAGCTCAATTGATCCTCATATTAATTCAAGCCCTTTCCAGCTTGTTGGAGTCTGCCAGAGCTCACACACTACTAGTCTGCCCTTTAAAAGACAAGAGATACCGCAGAACAAAACTTTACTGGACAATCTTTACTTCTAGTAGAAGATAATGAGTCACCCTCCAAGCAGGAAACTATTTCACCATCTGAAAAGATATGGTTTAATGTATCCCTTTACTACATTCTTAAAAAAATGTGTATATATTTATTCACAACAAATTCTCATATAGGATACTATCAAAATAACAAATCATACTTAAGTATCCTTTCTTGTATTGATAAGTGAATTTCACATTATTCTTTTTATGCAGAATTAGACTATGAAGGAAGACTCGAATCCTTGAGAGACAGTTACTCTTTGCCTTTCCTTTTTTACTTCTGCCCTACTTGATCCTTACTCAACTAGTTGGAGACGCTGTATCCAACAAGGAACAGAAAGAAAAGCAGTCAATAGAGGCAACTCTAAGGAGAGTTATTCCAGATAGCAGACAAGAAAATCAGCCATAGAGTCAAAAAAGAATTAATCTGAGACTTTAGATCTAGGCACACAAAGTACCTTGAACTCTAAGCTGTTGCTCCCTATGAATGCAAATTGGAGTTTAGTTCCCAGAGGGGCTCTTTCAGCTATATTTGGTAGTCATCTGTATAGAGATAGTAATTGAACCCACAACAGCAGGTAAGAGTGAACATAGAGAGAGAAGAAAAGATGGCCCAGGACAGAATCCTAAAAAGTATTCCTGTTTAGGGAATTGAGCATGGATAATGATCTAGCAAATGAGACTGAGATGGAGTAGCCAGAAAGGTTGGAGGTGTACTGGACAGCAATGTCATGAAAATCTAGGTGAGAGAGTGATCAGAGGGAGTAGTTAACAGCAAGTGATCAGAGGTAATAGTCAACAATGTCAATACCATAGAGATAAAGTATTAATGAATTAGTAGTTTTTAAGTGCCTTCTGTGTGAAAGGTGCTGTGCTAGGGCTGAGGAAACAGGGAAAAATGAAAGTCTCTGCTCTCAAAGAGAAGTGAAAAAGATACATACACAAAATAAACTCAATGTAATGGGGGAGGGGTTGGAATCAGGAAAGCTTTATCTTCATGTAGGAAGTATCACTTGGGCTGAGTTTGGAAGGAATAAAGGCCTTCTAAGAGTCAGAGGTGAGGAGGGACAAAGATCAAACATTTTTTAAAGTGTTCTCTGAGATGGGAGGTGTGTCATGTGTGAAGAGCAGCAAAAAGGCCAGTTTGTCTGGAGAGCAACACAAAGGAAGAGGAATAATGTATAATAAGGCTAGAAAGGTAGAATGAAGCTGGGTTGTAAAGGGTTTTAAAGGTCAAATAGAAGAGTTGATATTTGATCCTAGAGGAAATACAGAGCAACTACAGTTTATTGAGTAGAGGAGACCAATTAAGAGGGTATTTTGTCTAAGTGAGAAGTGATATAAAGGCTTGAGCTGAGGTGGAAGTCATGTGAATAGAGAGAAGGGAACAAATGGGTGAGTTATTTTAGAGACAGAACTAACAAAATTTGGCAGCACATTGGATTATAAGATAACGGAGAGTAAGGAGCCAAAGATAACATGGAAGTTGTTAACCTGGGTGGTGAAAGATGATGGTGCCCTTAACAGAAACAGGAAGAGGGCTAGGTTTTAGGGAAAAGGTAATGATTTTATTTTGGATATGTCGTATTTGAGATGCTTATGGAACATCTAGTTTAGTTAAAATGTCTAATTGGTAACTGGAGATGGCCTAGTGCTCAGGAGAGAGACTAGTGCTGGATATATAAAAATAAGGGTGATTTACATAGACATTGACATAATAAAATCATGGAAGCTGATGAGGTCACCAAGTGAAAGAAGAGCACCCAAGACACAGCCCTAAGATATACCTACAGTTAGGTGTAGTATGTGTGATGAACTAATAAAGGGGTTTGAGGAGTGGTCAGGCAGGTAGGAGGAAAATTAAAAGAGACCAGTATCACAAAAACCCAGAGAAGAAAGAGTATCTCCAAGAAGAGGATCGTCAACAGTATAAAGTGCTGCAGAAAAATCAAGAAGAATGAGGATTATGAAAAAGCCTGTAATATTTGGTGAAAGGATGAAGACAGAAAAAGCCACTGATTAAGCAATTAAGAGATTATTGGTAAACTTGTTCTGTAGAAAAGATGAGAAAATGCACCTCCCTCCCTTTCCTTCCTTCCTCCTTCCCTTTTCTTCCTTCCTGCCTTCTTTCTTTCTTTCTTTCTTTCTTTCTTTCTTTCTTTCTTTCTTTCTTTCTTTCTTTCTTTCTTTTGTTCTTTCTTTCTTTCTTTCTTTCTTTCTTTCTTTCTTTCTTTCTTTC